GGCTTTGTCGTCTTTCTTGCAGTTTCTACTGCGGGACTCTCGAGCTTGCATCCAGATTGAGTGTGGTCTGCCAGTGGTTTCTGGTCAGACATAGTTTGTGAGTCAATATCAACCTCATGTATGTCAGCAGGCTTTCCAGATGTGCTCTCATGTACTTTAGGATTGCACCCAGTGACACTGCTCTTACTGAGTTTCGAGTCGCTTTTACTTGCCGATTTTTTTTCCAACACTATACAGGTGACTTGCTGTGCTTCAGTGTCCGTCGACACTTTAGCACTGATACCAGGTGTAGTTCTCGGTGTGGTCAACTTTCTATCGAAGGAGTTCTTGGTTGATTGCCTTTGGTTAGTTGTTTTATCCGAGACTACTTTAATAGTCTTGAATTTAGTGGCAGTAGCCAGAAGATCTTCGGCCTTCTTAAATCGTTCAGCTATTATGTAGCTGTCGAACCTAAAGAGTATAGGACAGGGATGCTTTAGGTCTTTCTTACTTAGGCGAATGCACTGACAAGGTGCACTCAAGAGATTTGCAGCCTTCAGCAATGAGTGCTGGACCGACTTAATGGGCTCGCTATCTGGTACATTATACACTATAGCGTTTTGTTTCGAAGCCAGCCTTTTAACAACTTCGCTGGATAGAAAGTCAATGGCGTTTTCTAGCTCCTTCGCATTTTCTGAGTCAGTAGGCGTCATTCTAGAGGTCATATTAAAAAGCTTTAGGATTGTAGGATCCTGCAGTTCCTTTTTCATAAGTGAGATTGTTTCGGGTATACATTCAAATGAACTTAATTTCGTTTTTAATTCATCAATCTGTAGCTGCATCTCTTTAATAATGCATGTTAAGTAAGAGAGCTCCACTTTTTCAGACAGAACATCTTCCACCTGTATTACAGGGGTCAGAGTTATGTTCGAGTCTTTTCTGTTGGGTGAACTACTAATAATAAGGGGTGGTAATGTGTTATTAGACGAGCTGGTGCTATTTTCTAAATTACTGGTGTTCACACGAACACTCTTTTTAGAATTTCGGCCCATCGTTATTAAAGATTAATCAACAGTAAGCAATAAATGAATATAAACGAAAACACGTGCAAAAAGCGTCACCTGGTTCGAACGTACCGGGCAAACAGTGGACATAGATGAGTCAACAGAACATAATGTTGAAATGCACCGTTTTCACACTGACACAAGCGTCAAGCGCCAAAAAACATCAAAACCCATCCCACTGGTGTTCAACCCATCTCTTTATGAGTTAGTTACTTCTCAGTCTGACAATCCACCCGCTGTTAAGTGCCAGTTCAGTGTAGCTACCCAACTTAGCGAATTCTCTAGGCGTTATGACAAACGTCCTATTAACATTAAAAAAACTAGGGGTAACTGATATTCCCTTGCACTCCTCCAGGCTAATAACTAAACCTGCCACTTTCGTAAGTTATAGTCTTAGAAATCATTACAATCTAGTTGCTATAGATCATTCGCAGACTAACATGTGGTACAGCTTCTCGAACAAGTTTTCAGTAATTTTGAATAGACTACCAGCTGACGTGCGTGATGCAAACACATTTTTAGTATTCATTTTTCAGTCACTAGACTGCGCGAAGATGACAATACTTTCCTGTGGCTGACTCCTTAACCCTCTTTTTCACTCTCTATAGATGTTATAAGTTTGCTAAACGTATGAGTTGCAGTAAGCTACAACAGTAAATGTTATTATTATTGGAAGGACATGAACAATTCTACGAAGGAAACCGATGCTAGTTCACAAATATGGTTTACAAGTTAGCATAGCAGGACTAGTTAGTTTGTGTGTCAACATAATCCTAGTTTCTACACAAAAAATATATATAAATCTATATATTACTCGTTGGGGACCCCGTTCGCTTTCTTCTGTGCTGCTGTTGTTTGTCTTCTTCTCGCACCATTTCAGCTTCTATATGACTTCCTGAATGGGAATAAAGTATGTAGATATTTGGCCACTCGCAATGAAAAACGATCTGCAAACATTACTGGTCCCGAATCCTACAAATACCTCATGAATTTCACATTGCCTTCCTTCGCGAAACATCCTGTATGAAAATTGTGGAATATTGTCCTTATACCAATATAAATCCCAATAAGTATCTGTTTGGCGCCAATAAATCTGGTTATGTAAGAAATAATGAGAATGTGCTGATTGTTGCATTTATAATCCCACTGAGTAGAATAATGATAATTTCCCGCTCCTACGTGCTCCCATTGTTATTTTATATGGATTAGTTTGCCATTATTCCGCTTCCAAGCCGCGTATGGACTGAAATTTACCTGTCGCTGTAACAATATTTCTTTGTAGGTTTAACTGAACATTTACTACTGTTGTGAGTCACTGGCAATTAATATTGTTAAAACATTGTTATCGGTGAGCCAACTAATGTTTTAAGAGGCATTTTTATCACTTTATAATTAACCTACCAAACCTACCACTCGTAATTCAACGATCAAATACGATGCGATATCTGTTTAAATTTCTTCATTGGCGATGCTATTTTATACTGTGTACATCGCTTCCATCTATGTAAAGTGACATTATAGGTATTATTCCATAATCATTTCCTATGTACATATTGTGTAGGTGAATAATTGTAAATATGCTTACTCCTAAATTATGTTATTTATCATATTGACGATGCCCGTAAACTGGCGTCCCTCATGTACTAAAACTCAAAATATAATTATTCTAAGAAAAACTCTCCAACATGTAAGGAACACCTTTTCGCCACTACCAGCCAGGCAAACATAAGAAAGGAGAAACTGAAGTAAATAAATTGAATACTGAAACCAGAGCACGAAAGTCCTTTGATATGATAGAGACGTAAGCACATCTTAGCCATCTTTCTGGGAAAAAGTCAAATATTGTAGACCAAGCCGCTAGGGGTAGGCCCAATTAGTCTCAAGTGGAAAGCCAATTATACCCAATCACTACTACTAGACAAACAACATAGCGAGGAATTCTATATTATTCTGCTCATCCACTACGTAAACCCATTGTTAGCCAGTCCTCTTTTAGTGTTCTGTCAGCTGAAAGTTATAGAAAACCTCCAAAATATCGGCCACAGACGACATTTGGCAAACCGAATAAGCCCACAGAGCCCATTCATGCATCTTGTGTATTCAGTAGGAAGCATGTGCCGATGCATGCACGGAACTTGCAATGGTTTGATGACTACTTCAGACAGATACCAACACTTCATCCTTGTCTGGCAACAAATTTCCGAATACTCATATCGATTATACCTTTCACAACAACACTGTCCCTACCAGCTGCTTTGGGCAGGATTTTTGCCAGCGCCACATCATGCACATAGCACTCACGATATCGAATCAATTCCTTGCTGAAATAGCGAACAGTCTACGGCTAGGGCAAGGCATATTTCCCGAGACAGCTGACACAACGTTGGTACCAAACGCAGTGCCTCTCAGTGCATACCATTTCCAAACAAAATTCCCCCTGACTACCACCTCACAAACCCGTTTTAAATGTTCCTATGATCCAAAAATAATGGTTAGTGAGTCCGAAAACATGTATACGGAGGACACTCACGGAATATTTTATCAAGATGTTGTCCGCTCACTGAAACCACGTAGCCAGTGTTTATCTATTATCCTAGTAAATACGAGATCGGTTCTAAACAAACACTTAACACTAAGTACATTATCTTATATTGCAGACCATCAATGACTATGATCACTGAAGCCTGGTGCACAAGTGAAATCTCCAATGACAGCCTAAGGATTGATAAATGCAACCTTTTTCGAGGGGGCAAAGAGATAGGCCGTGGGGCTGTGCGACCACTTCACACTAAACAATCCATACATGCAGCCCCATTCAGTAACCCATTTCAGTCACTACTTAATGACTCAATCTGCGTCTAAATAAAAGCTGTCAGAAGTAAACCTATACTTGTGTGTCGAGTTTACTGACGCCCTTCATCCAGCAGAGAGTATGATAAATGCTCAGCAACATATTTAGTGTTACAGCCGATCTCGCCTTCTGTTATAAAATTATTGGAGGTTACTTCAACGTGACAGAAGTATCACCGCCTTCACTCCGAGGACTCCAAAAGTATGATAATTCCATCGTCACGGGAGGGTGGACACAACACATAAATTCAACAACTAGATCCGCCTATTAGATTAGTTTGAAGAGTTAACGATTCTCATCAATAGAGCAATCACTTTCATCGGCCGCCCAAAGCCAGTGCACACCATATGCAGCAGCACTTACGTCAGTTCCTAAACACAGAGATCTAGGTATCCTGAAAATTACGCCACACTGTGATTCTTGATACCTTGCAGCTTTAGACCCTTAATGGCGATACCGAGGGACTATTTGGGGAACAACGAGCGCGTTCACCAGTGTACATGCATCTCTAATGAGTTAGAAACTTGGAATAAGCATCCAGACCGCCTTTGAAAATGAACTCATATATCCTAGATACGGTTTCAGGGAACGGTCACATGTATAACTAATGGCATGACTAGTTTATCCTGCGAGGAAAAAATGAACAGTTTTATGCCTCCTCCTGATCGTGTCATATTTAGAGTTGAGTTCTAATAACGGTGTTCAGGACCGAGGGAAACGGGCACGAGTCTGGTATATCCTCTCATTTCTTTCCTACTTGGTCGGTTAGCCTTAGGGGACAAAATGAAGTGAAATGCACAGAACAGGATTAACGTAGCCCTGAAGCCTTCTATCTACAAACAGATGTCTGAACCTGAAAATCTTTGGCGCTGCACTCACAGCAATTGAAATATAGTAGCTTATAAATTCATCTATTGTATAACAGCATCAGTACACAGGACCAGTGAAGTTTGGAGGGTTAAGATACAAATAGATTGGTGATCAACTAAATGCATTAAAATGCAAGTCAGTGGATAAACCTAGAGTTGAATTTTATGCTGTTAATAAACTCAACTTGAGGTAAACTGGTATTTAAAACATATTGAAACTCACGTTTTATACATCATGTTTAATACGGAATGCGCTGAGTCAGTTGTTATATTGCTCCTTATTGATGCATTGCGAAGGTGAGCAGAGCTTGAGAGCGGGCTCTTAAAATATGCTGGTTAAATGAAGATTTCTATCTTTTCTGACAGTTGGACTTATCGTTGACTGCTGTGGTGTAACGTGAGAAAAGCCATTTATGTCTTCTAACTTTTGCCCATGGATTTTTTGACTCCACAAAAGCATGTAGCGGCGAATTATAGTTCAAAACATGTTAGAAATGCTTCAACTCCTGGTTATGTCCCTCCATTAATTCGTGGACTCAGTTTGGAAGACCCATTAAAGTGTGCATCACTGTCTATTTCCAAGCACAAGAGGAATCAGTCATGTGTGCGTGTTAATCTTGGATTTAATGATACGGTAAGCATATAAACTTTGCGAAATATTATTTGGGTTAAATCAAGGTACTTGATATTTCAAAACTTTCGTATTAACCGTATATGAAATCAAAGTCTAGATGAGATTAGTTGTGTTAAGTGATACTGTATGATGCTTTTTTGCACTAAGCCTGTCTGTATCATTTGTGTAATTAATATGAAAGTTATGTGACATAACTGTACACTGGTCACTGCATACAACAGTAAGAGATTATTAGTTGCAGATAGCCCATGCCTTTCACTTGCAGACAGACTTAATTCTCTTCATTGCGGAATTCCCCATTGGTACATTTTGTCCTAAATATTTATTTGGTATATGTATGCATATATATCGCTTAAGCATATCTCCATATTTTCCACCTGATTCCTTACATCATTGACGGTTGTCTTCGTATTGGTGTAAAATTGTACTCACCGGTTTTGGCATATATTGGACTTTTCACAATTATCTTAAATATTTTCGCAAAATTCACAAAGTTTCGCTGGATTTTTACTCGTTAAAAGTGATGTTTCATTCCTACAGTCAAACTCGCGATCTGCTCACAAATGTTTTTTCATCTATAATAAGTCAGTTTTATGATTATAAGCTGGTGTGTGTGCCTTGTTTTCATGATCCCTTCCTAATTCCTCTGATATTGTCTTTGCGGGCTTTTCCTATTGAAATGTTTCTATCCTTCATCATTTCCTTAAGTGCCTCTATTTCTTGTTGTGGGATGCTTTTTGTCGTTATGTGCATAACTTAAGCTATATCACTTGGTAGCATTCCAAAGCTGGTTCGATATTCGGCGATAGTTCTTGAATTACTAAACGTTTTTTGCTGATATGGGTACTAAAACTCTACTGTTACAAGAAAATTTCTTTTTCAATTGAAATTTTGTCTGCTGTATAGCATTTTAACATATACTACATTGGTTACACATGAATAAGAACACCATCAAGAGTATAGGGTTTAAAACGGGTCTTTTAAGCAGTAATGAGCAGTTGTCGCTGACGAAAGTCAGGGACTTAATGTTATTCTTTTTGCTGAGTGATATTGCAAGTGAAAGGAATATTAAGATACTAAAGTAATATATAGAACTCCGGAAAACTAAGGTACAGGCTAAATGAAATATCAGAGTTGACGCCTTTTTTCAGTAGATGTAGCAAGCTACTTTAAAGAAGCAGTGGTTCACAATATGTTAGTGAACTGACTGAGGGATCCAGTGAGATGTTAACGTCTGATGTAGTTTATTGCAGTTTGGCAGAAAGTTATAAAGTCATAATCCGTCGTCCAGAGGTGCATAAAGTAGACACGTGAAACTGTTAGATTAGAAAGTATATAGCTCCGAAAGTCCTTTTAACTAAACGGAGAGCCTTAGAGGTCTAGGTGCATCTATTAGATCATTTATCGTCTGATTTGGTAGCAGTTATATGTATCAGCTTATCGAATTGACTTTTCTGAACGTTAAAATTTCATTTTAGTTTTTTTGCTGTTGACATTCATCAGCGTAGCTTTAAGATATAACACACCATAGGCAGAGACGTGTAAATTCCATTTTTTTCCAATTTTCAACACTTGTCATCAGAGCGTACTTACAACCTCAAGAAAACTCATGTTTTCCCTGAAGTTTAAACCCGCATCACACCTTGTCATAGTTATCACGAGTAAGCTATTCGTAGTAACTACGTTGCACACTTAATCGACATATTCACATGAATACTTAAGGTATAACAGCAACACATTCAGATAGTCTCAAATAATCGTTTAGGTCCTTGCAGACAATTATTCAAAAGGTGCATTGATGCATTTATCACGAATAAAGTTTTGTAGAGTATTCCGATGTGTAAATTTCAGTATTCCTTGCCATTGTGGAGTCTGGATGAAGTTTTATCGAGTATCCTAGAATAATAATTAAATCAATAATAGGAATAGGTACTGATCACAGCGGATGAAGGTGTGTCCACTCACTTCTTTTTGTTTTAGTCACTTCCTCTTTGACTTTCTCTTTCCTAATAAGCCTATCTAACTCATATGATTTGCAGTTTTTTGTCTGATAAAATAACTTTAACCTGGTATATTTGTTTATTATTTTCCAGCTTTTGGACATTTCTGTGAACCATTACTGAGTTGTTCTTTTCCCTCACATGCTCACTATTCACAGTCACTTTTTGTTGTATACTTCGTCTGCATATGCAGTGTAGGGGCACTTTATAGCGAGCCAGGTAACAGAACAAATATTAGAAGTAAAAATCCAAGTTAATGAAGTGATAATGTAACATTATATTATAGAAAATACAGCTAATGAGTCATACCAAGTAATGTATAATTGTTTATACTGTTAAAGTCCGCTGCTACAAATTAATTATATAATCCACATAAGAGTTCACGGCTGCAGTATTGTGTACTGGTAGAAGCTTTTGCACCATTTGTAGAAGAGTCTATGGCTAAGGATGAGAGGTTCCTGCAAAATCCGAAGAATACAACACGTTTAGTAGTGAAGCAAGTAGACAGTAGGGACTGGTGAGAAGACGAAGTGCCGAGCAGCACACTAATTTTTTTTTAACTCCGAAGTTATGTATATTTTACCATGAATCGTTTTAAACAAAAGTTGTGTACATCGTTTCTGTTTTCAACATTTAACAAAAAAAATATAGAATCGTATTGTTCCAGGATCCACAGCTGTAATAAGGAAGAGTGACACTGTATTTTTGTACACTCACTAAGTTAGCTAATCATACATCATCCATCTTTTGAATTTCCTTTAAGTGTTACCAGGAAAAACCTCCTTATCAACAATAAGGAAAGCTTTTTTTGTTTTTGAATCATTATTGTGAATTATTGTAGAGATGCAGTGTTATTGGCTTAAACATTAGGCTTTTAGCCATTAAATTATGAATTAAAATCTCTGTCCACTTAGTTCATCATCGTGGACAGACGAATAGTTTCATAACCTACCCCACATATCGAATATTTCCGATAGCTTACTATTACATGTAAACAGCTTTTAGCAAGCTATTGAGTTCATTTAATTAACTTTTATTAATGTCAAATGTACGAGGAAATTAATTAGTGACGCACATTAATAGTTGCTATAGTAACATATTGTTCCTAGGTTAATTGGTTTGTTTAGAGGAGGAATTGTATTGATGCAACGAAATAATTAAAGTGAAATAATGGCATTCAACAATACAGATGTAACATACTATCATTCATGTATATATATAAAGAGTACATCTTTTCGATTACATCCTTGTCAAAATAAGTAATGATCCATGTATAAAGAAAGGTCAGTGGCGCTACATGGTTGAAAAAAAAATCCTTAGTAAAAAGAAGTGGGATATAGAAATAATCCGTTTTTGTTGAATGATTAAGTGTTCCAGTCAATGAAGTACAACAACTCTGAGATAAGCGAAGAACTGATTAAGTTTACAGCGCAGAACTTTGCACAAAAGTGCAGCAACTCAAACTGTCAGACTCCATAGAAGAGCACAGAAAAGTAGGGAAAATATCCTAGGGTACTATAGTAAGTAAAAGCGTATGGAAGAAAGAATAATTACATGGAGAAACATGACGACATAATGGATTTCAGTGATTACAGAAAATGAATGCATCTGTACAATGGACACAATGCACTAAAGTCCTCAACCATTGATCCTTAGCTTCTCAAGGATCTCAGGCAGCTTGTCTTAGGTGTATCCTGTGTGATAGGAAGAGTTGGAGATGGTCCCACTGAAAAATAGCATCAACTCGCAAAGCCTTTGGTTGTTGGTTTATTTCTTCATTCATGTAATATTGCCATTATTATTACTGTAAATATCACACAGGTTCTGTAATTGTGTTTTCTACCCTACTATGCCATGTAAATAAAAAATTAGATGCAGTGTATGCTGAGAATTTTACACTGTATCAAAAGTACTGTTTGGATTAAAGTCCTCATAATAATAATGATGTTGAATCAAAACTGTTCTCAGTGGCTGGCACGGATGCATTCACTTATTGTAGTCTTCAGCGTTATTCCGCATACATAATTATTCTTCCTGCCTTACTTTCCATCTATCATAGATTTTTTCCTCTAGGTTTATGTGTGATTTTATGATGTTTGGCAGCTAAAATTGCTGTTCTTTCTGGTTGAAATTTTAATTCAATTCCTGTTGTAAAACTATTCTATCGGTTGGAAGGGGGGATTGTGAGAAATCCTGTCACTCGCCTTATTTTCATGTTTGAAAACCCAAAAAAAACTAGGTCAAATTGTTTGATAACGTGTAAATCTTTATTCTGTTTAGACTATGTATGCGTAATTTAGAATACTGACTTCTTTGAAACATCTATCGTTAATTTAATTAACAACACTTTGGTGGGGGGTCTTTCCTTTTATATGTTCAAACCAAGTTCACTTTTAACAGTTTGAAAAAGTCTGGCCATTAGGTATACTGATTTTTGTTATTATAAATTTTGTTTTATTGTTCCCAATGAATTTAAAAAAAACGATATTAGTATTTTTACTGAGGTTTCGCTACTTAATGCTGCTAATAACTTTACAAAGTCTCACCTTATATGTATGCGTATATCTATGTCTAAAGCTTGATCATAGTTCATCAGCATCAGGTAGTTTTTACGTTGTGAAATAGGTCACTTGCTAAAGATACTAAAACCACATGTGTAGATTGTTGGATTTAACAAGCATATGGACATCGTAGAGCATCTGTGTTCGACTACTGCGAAATCCAGTTGAACTAGAAAGGCTTGAAAAATCATCAGCCGTAGGTCTTACACGCTATAGAGTCAGGCTACAAAATTGATTTTGACAATACCGAAATCATCCAGAAAAGTTTCGGAAATCACAAAGAACGTTTTATATTAGAAGCACTTCATATTGAGTGGAATCCAAATTGTGTCTGAATAGGAATGATGAACTAAAACAGAATTTGACTTAGTTGCAACGCCCTCCTCCATGATGTGACATTCGACACAATTTTCCTTATGAAAACACATACTGTTTTTAT